TGCCAGGCATTCTTCTTACCCTCGGATAGAGAAGCCTAAGGAACAAAAGGCAGGTTTGAAAACCCTGTGCTATAAAAGGCTGCATCTGTGCAGCCACGTATTGCAGCAAAAGCCATTCTAGCCCCTGCCTTCTTCCCACCGCACAGTAAGGGATGGCCTTAGCGGGAGCTGAGGTGGGAAAAATGGAGGAACAAACTGGTTGTCTGCACAAGCTCTTTTTGCAAGTCCAGCAGATTTGGAAGGATAGGGTGGGAAACCAGGTTAGAAAAGAGGAGCCCAGTTTTCCATCCTTTGCAGCATAAGAATATTTGACTGCAGGAGAGAAATGGGTACTGGACGGCCACAGTCGTCATACCACGCGTAGAGGAACACATGGATTCCACTGGCTCCAGGATTCCCCAACTTCTGTTTCTTCTGCTCTTTGAAAACATGAGTCCCAGCAGTGTATAGAATCTATATATAATCTATATATAATATATATAATCTATAGTATCCCATCTGCAGCTGAACCACAGGCACCCATCGAGCCAGATTTGCACAGGCACCGGCCTTGCTGTCTGCAGTGGGAACGACGCCCCTGCCCCAGGTTCATAGGGCACCCAAGCTGCCAGGTTTCCTCACAGCTCTTACCCTCATTGTTTTGCTATTGCCTGGTGGCTCGGGCTGAGTGTCCGACTGTTACCCTTCGCAGACTGAGCGTTTCACACATTGCATCGTACCTGCACACCTGAAATACTTTCCCAAAGTGCTCATTGTTGACATGTATCAGCAATGACGTTGCTGTTTACAATTAACAGATGAACTGCTATGCTTAACGTTCCTCGTGTTTGTCTTCCTGTATGGGAAGATCCAAGATACCAAAATTTTAAAAGGATTTGGAACACTAGGGATCTGTGAATACCTTTGATAACTCCAGGCAGCCTGGGATTCACTGCTTTGTATTTGAACCTCTGACCTGTTTCTGATAGAACCTTAACAGAGGTCTCTAACCTCCTGTACTACATCAAAATGTGATTTTCCAGCCTGATGTCAGGTACAAAATGGGGCTCAAAATAAACATGGGAACAAATCCAAAGCACACTCACATTTCCTTATTCTTTTTTCTCTGTTCTTTCCCAGCTAGGCTGAGCTAACTGTGAAGCATGCAACTGACACAGTTAAAGATTTACAGCTGAGAGAAAGACACCAAGAAAACACATTAGCTTCTCTGAAACAGCATCTGCAGTAAAACTGCAAGTCTCTGTGTATATCTACATGCAGAGGATATTTTTACATGGATGAATGACTGAATCAGTCACTTCCAAGAAAGCAGATGTTTAAGCCGTTAGAAGAATAGCCTGGTTTTGCTTCATATGTTTAAACAGATTAGAAAACAATACAAAGGGATCATTTCATTATCACCAAAACACAGCAGCCATCCCTAGAGAGAGAGATACAGCAGCAATAGATACCACAGGGCATCTCATTTTAGTATTAACCATTAGAACTTTGGGGAAGAATTTACAAAGAAAGAATTTAAATAGACTGACCAGGACTTAGGGACATTCAGTAACAACCTGTAGTAAGGACACTGGCTCTGTCTCTCTTGCAGAGACCTCAGCTCCAGTCCAGAGTCAGCCCAGCCCTGCCTTATCTCGTGGAATTGCAGCCCCGAGTGCTGTGGCGTCATATAAACAAGTAAAAGGGATGGTCTTTGTCATTGAACAGACAGGGCTTGGAGAGGGGACAGTGTCCCACAAACAGACTTCTCCAATGTCACAGCAGAGATTTGACAATTCCCAATAAACAGTAGAGTCACTGTTACACATGGGAAACCCAGGAGATGATGTCTATTAGTTAGATAAAATCTCAATAATTAGCCTCCAACCTCTGGCAGAGCACTGATGATGCTGGTTCTTTTTAGCTAATACTATCTATTGTTGGCTTACTTAACAGTGCCTTTCACAACTGGGGCTGCTTAGTCATGACAGTCATAAACGGGTGGCTATCACAAAGTCTAGCTACTTCCCTCCTCTCCTTGCCTCCACCCATCATCCTGAAACAGGCTGCAGAAGGGACTCCACAGCCTGAGGACTTCTGGATCCACTCTTTCACATCAGCTAGTGCAAAACTTTTTAAACTTAAACAAAGCAAATATAACCAAGCCTGGAGAAAATATGGTGCAGGATTAACAGCACTGCATCTCTTTACAGAGTCTTGCATTGAGCTGTACAACTCTCAAAGGCTGATGGGCTAGCTGGGATCTCTCGGTTTCGTCGATCCTGCTACCACGCCAACTTTCATTAAACTTGCCCAGCAATTGCGTCTTTACAAGAATTTGCTGACAGCTCCATTTAAGATCCTGGAAATGTTCCTACACGTTTTGTCGAAACTTGAGTTAATCCAGAGCATATGCTTCTTTTGCAAAACCAAATGATCATCTTTGAAATGAATTCTGCATTGTGACTTTTCCCCATGAAAAAACCCGAAGAGGCTCAAGTAAGTTTGTACGCAGGAAGCTAAACACAGAAAACTAATAATTTCTGTACTGCAAAAGCACAAAGGCAAGACAAAACATGGCCCTGCTGTGCTGTGATAGCTGTCGTTACCTGCTTGCATTGGAGGAATCCATTGGTGCATGGTACACACTCTCGGTGATTCTTTGGTGCAGTTGACTTGCCTCTGTTAAAGAAAAGTAAAAAGAATTTGCTCCAAATTGTATAAATTACATCCTTGTTTGCACGGGAGAGGGGAGAAGGGATTTTGACTGCAGCTACAATCAGAATGGAATACTCGTACCTGAAGAGAAAGGCACATGGTGGTCTTAAAGACTGAAAACTTCGTTCACTCAAACAGCTCTTCTACCCTTAGTTTTTCAAGTGCAGAAGAGATTTCTTCCCCTACCACCTTCTCTTTCCTCTGTACCTCTTCCTAGCTCACTGCACAACTTAGATCTAGAGAATGGATATACTGGCATTTTCCCCAGAATACACTACAAGTTTTGTGGCTCACTGTTCTAGCAACACATGTAAATCAGTCCTTTTGCACATGCAGCCGTCTAGTAGAATATATCCCCATCCCTCTGAAGAATGGTTCTGCTCAGCATCCTGGACAAACAGCAACAGTAAAATGTTAATATGAGGCCACTCGTTCACTCTTTTTGCATCGCTGCAAGGTGGCAGCGTTTGTACCTGTATCTGGTAACTGCTGAGTGAGGAGGATGGTAAGAGAGATGCTGAGAGTCTGGTTTTCAGGGCCAGGAGGTACAGACACTGAGAAGTGGGGAGGCAATGGAAGGAGCTGCTTTCCAGCTCTTAGATTACTGAGATCTAAGAGCTATTTAATTCTGGAAGAAGATGGCGCTCCTGTCGATGAAAGGAGAACATACAAAGGGACAGGGGCAGCACTGAAAGATTAAATTTAACAAAGTCTTTTGCTTGTGGGAATGCTGGGAGAAAGGAGAACTCTGGGTGGGGAGTTAGAAGTAGCTCCTTTCCTGGTTTTGGCAACTGATTCACAGCCTTGCAAAAATCCCTTAAACTGCATCCCTAATTCCTTTGGCTGCAAGAGACAATTATGCTCTGTGGGAATGAGGGATCAAGGTGTTACCCAAAGCCTTGTAAGCATTTCATGCTCGCTGCAGAGTATGACAGAGGGTGCATATGGACACTAATGACCCCTGTGTTAAACTGTTTATCACGTACCTTTGGCTACCTGCTTTGCCCTTCGCTCACTCATTCATCTCAGCTGCTTCCTTCCAACATTCCAACCCCCTGTGCAACTCCTAACAACAGTCATTAAAAACAGCACAGGAAAAACAAATGTATCCCTCTTCCTTCTCTCAGTACAACATACAGTTGGTGAAATACCCAGTTTGGGGTTAAGCATGAATTAAGGTCTCTTCTTTCCCGAGTCACTGTAAAACCACAGGGCAAAGCATTTGCTTCCTGCCATCACTATTGTGACAAGGGCTTTGATTCATGTGGTCATTTGGGAAAAGTCAACAGGAAGAGTTGCAATAAGAACATATAAGATACAGTTTCTGCACTCTGACTGCTGTTCTGCTCGATTCACAATGAGGAAAGCTTGACTTTGTTCACAGAGTAGAATGAAAGTCATCCTTGGATATCCTCATGTCCAGACTGGATATGGTCTTGAGTAACCTGGTTTGACCAATAACTCAGTCTGCTTTGAGCAGGATGTTGGACTATGATGTCCTGAGGTCCCTTGAAACCTGAAATATTCTAGGATCCTATGATCTTAAGACAAAACAATAGAATATCCAAATATAAATGTTTTCAAAAACTTTCAGTCTTGATTCCTGCATAGGTTTCTTTGGAAAATGCATAGTAACTCTAGCATATAGGTATTGTATGCCACAAAGATTTCACAAATGCTCATCGGCTTCAGTTTCTTTCCCTTAAACACACCTGGAGGATTAGCACTCTATCCTATTGAACACATACATTTTCTCCTTAAGTTGCTCTTCTGTGGTAGCCTAAGTAAAGCCAGCTTTTATACTTCAGAAGTAAATATTACAAACCATACCAGAGAGTTCCTAGATCGAGCCCTGAAACTGCACAGATAAGAATCTTGAGTTCTTCCTCAGCAGTTCCTGCT